CGACTATTCATTATGTTCCAAACTCGTCTTTTTTCGTTAAAAAGTAACGATCGTCTGAGTTGAATGTTAACATGATGGCTGAGATATGATGTCGTTTGAGATTCTGATATCAGATTTTATCATATCACAGTCAACATGTTAACATTAAGCTCAGGCTACTGTCAGCTTTTTAATGAAAAATTAAAAAGTCGGGTGATCATTTTATAACTTTTAATTATAGATAGACTCGATAAAACAATACTATATAATCGAAAAATCATTTTAACTTTTAATAGCAGGGATTTAACAAATCATCACCCTGTTATAGTATTGGAAACGGAGAAAACGTTACCCTTGTGCTGTATCGGAAACACCAGTGGCTTCAGCAATGAGAAATCCACCATTGGATGAACGCTGAGAGTAATATAAGATGCCATGTGGCTGTGGAATATTGTTGAAAGACCTGTTCCTTGTCAATGGTGCTAACACAACCCTGTATCATTATTTTCAATATTTTTAAAGAATGTGTAAAAAAAACAATCATTTTAACGAAAAATACTATATGCACACATAATAGAGTCAAGATGAAAGTTCAAGAGATAAATATGAATAGGAATAAAATGATGGTTAGAATCTAATTTTCCAATCATCAATTTAAAGTTAAAAATGAAGTTAGGGTTTAACTTGTTTAATTATAAAATTGAAAGGGACTTAAAAAGTATTTAAACCGAAAAAATGGTAGGTCGAGACTTAATTCGTCTAGTTCCAAAATTAAGAGAGACTTAATTTCGTATCCACAAATATTAATATTTTTAGAGTTGAATTATATAGAGAGAAGTTGTTTTGTTGGCAAAAATTTAATAGGTGAAAATTATGCTTATATTCTTTGTAATTTCCGCACACTTAGAAATTTAATTTTCAATTTAAAAATTGAATTTCGATTGTGAAAAAGGAGTTCTGTAAACTAGATTAGTTGTAGAAATATAAGAAACAATTCCTATTCAAACAATTAACAAGAGCTGATTTACACTAAAGTATAATTAATATGAAGTAATTAGACTTTAATTTTCAAATCAAAGAGCAGAGGGGTTAAATTATAAACGTGCAAATATTACAGGGCACAGAAAAAATTAGACAATTCTGATATCTTTTAAAAATTCAGATAAATTACAAATTTAGTAACTGAATTTTAATCTCTTCTATTTTACTTATTATACTTTAAATTTTTTTACTGAACTTAATACATTTGATTTTTGTCACTCAGTCGTTTCTTCACTAATGACGTTATACATGAGTTTTTATATAGATACAAAACGATGTTGTTTTGGTAAAAATTTTATCTTTTAGAAATGACGTCGTTTTAACACCGTTAACTATTTAATGATAGAATGACAGAAAAATCTATTGTATTAAGTTTAGTGAAAAAATTAAAAAAATTTTAAAGTTAAGTGAGCAAAATAGGAGAAAAAATAAAGTTTAGTGATGCATTTTGTAATTTACCCTTAAAATTCAGTAGCAACGCGTACGTTGACTCTAGTAAGATTTTCAAATCGAAGAATCAACGCATTCATCAAGCCAGAATTCCAGATCAAGGAAGCATGATTTCAATATGAAGATAAACTAAAACGTCAGTCGTGATTTGCTGCTGTTAGGTTAAGAAAAATTTATGTGTAAAAAGAAACAAACCTGTGAGAGAGGTTAAAATTCCCCATTTTGTAAGGTAAGAGAAGAGGAATGGTGGCGGAGTTAGCGGTCGCGGCCATATTTGATATCTTCTTCTTCCTCCTCCTTAGTTTTCCTTTTACCTTTGGCAAATTGCAGAAGAGCCACGACCTTGGAAGATTTTCAGAAAAGGCTGCTAAAATAGGCAGCTAAGGGGAAAAAATATGAAAAGCTGGTAAGGAGACCACGATTTTCATGCCAAACAATAGTACCGTAAATGAAACGAAATATAGATCAGGAGGTGATACCTATTTTCATATATTAAAGGTTTAATAGATCAGGAGGTGATACCTATTTTCATATATTAAGGTTTAAGTTTGAGTTGCTTCAATCAATCTAAGTTTAAATATTTTTTAATTTTAAGTTTTTACGAGTTTCAATTTAAATTTTCGAGTTCGAGTCGAACTTAAAAATTATTAAGTTCGTGAATTTTCAAACCGAATCAAAATATATTTTAGAATTTTAGAGTCGAGCTCAGTACTCATCTACAGCCTACCAAACAGAAACCATTCCAATTTTCAGTTTGGGTAAATATACATTTTGGTAGTTGAACTTGACTTGAAGGTGCAATTTAGTACCTAAACTTGACCTGAAGGTTGAATTTGGTACTAAACTTTCTTTTGTCCAATTAGATACCTGGACTGGCTTCTACGTTTAAAGTGGTACCTTAGTTTAGCTTCATAGTTCAAATACTCCAACTATAACCCTCTAATTTAATATAATTCTAACCGTCATCTCAAGGGTCTCTGACAATATGACTTGAACCCTAATTTTGCAAGAATATCTCACTCTGGATAGAACGTTACTTTCCAGAGGCTCTTCATCGAGGTATACTTGATTTACACTAAATTTAGCTGACATACACATAATTCGATTAAGGAAAGGTAAATTCGTACTTGGAGTATCTGTTAAAATGATCCAGGTTTATTTATCGAACTTCTTTGTTTTAACTGGTCCGCCTTTGTTTTCTCTGTTTCAGATCTAATTTCAGAGTGTTAAACGCTTCCTTCGTTAAGCTATGGCTCTTGTGAGTTCATTTCTTCTTCAGTTAGATCATTGTAACCAGTATTCTTTTCGTTGCACTTCGTTTGTTATGATATATTTTTTTTTCAGATTTCTTGAGTGAGCATTGGATTAGCATAATTTTTGCTTTGCATCTTTCTTAACTGTTCTGACTGAGAAATTTAAATCCTTTCTATTGTTGTTTTTGCTGCTTGCTTCATTGTTAAAATCAAGTTGTAATGAGAAAATGTTAGTATCTGGGTAAAATTTTGAATAATCCGGGACAAGTAATACCTGTTCTAGCATAATGATTTCTTATAGAAGTAAAACCAGACTGTTGTTATGTATTGTCACTTTGATTCTATTGGCAAGAATTTCTGACTTGCTTCAAGCTTTTCCTTTATAGTCATTCAAGTAATCGTTCCACTCGGTTCGTGCTTGGAATTATGAATCATTTTACTTTCCTCGATAACACATTTGTTTGACCTGTTTTGTAGATCTTGCATGCTGGGAAGACCAATAAGAATTCATTCAAGGCTCTCATTGCTGCAGAGTACAGTGGTATAGATGTCAAACTTGCTGACAATTTCGAGATGGCTGTCTCAAATAAAACACCCGAATTTCTCAAGATGACCCCTATCGGGAAGGTACCTGTACATGCAATGGTGTGGTTGTTCAACGATATGTTGTTTTATATATCGATTTTAGTATCTTGATTCGAAGAATACATGCTGGTTTTTTAGGTTCCTGTGTTGGAAACACCTGATGGCCCCATATTTGAAAGCAATGCAATCCCTCGATATGGTTTGAACTCGTTACTCCCTTAACCTTCATCTTCAAATGATTCTCTTAAAATTAATTGGTCCTTTTATTGTTGCTTTAGTTACACGCTTGAAGGCTGATAATCCTCCGTATGGTTCATCTCTGTACGAATGTGTAAGATTTCTCTCTTGTTCTCGGTACTTCGATTAGATTTTTTTTTATGATTTTACTTGGCTACCTTACATGATGTTTTTCTTTCTTTCCTGTGGACATTTTTAGGCCCTTATTGAACAGTGGATTGATTTTGATTCACTGGAAATTGATGCTATATCATTTCCTGGTTTAGACCAAGGATGGGGCGTGCTGTGTATCTTCCCCGGGTACGTTTTTTCTCCCATCTATTGATGTTCATCCCTCATTCACTGCTTACCTATCAGTTAAAAGTTTTTTGAATATGTTAAGCGATCGTTTATTAAACTGTAGATATGTTTCTTCAATGCTCGGTTTTAAAAGTGAATCGTAATTTCATTGTTATGAAACATTTATGGCATTAAAAACTAGAAATTCTTGTCTATAATGAAAAAGATTGATGATTGCCCTGTTCTTCTGATCTTATAATTATTTCATTTTGGTTTTACCATTTTTAATCCTTTAACTTCTATGGATGACCTTGCATGTAGGCCGAGGAAGCAACAATTGCTGCGTTGAAGAGAGCATTGGGTGTTCTAAACGCGCATCTCGCTTGCAACACTTACCTGGTCGGACATTCTGTGACCCTTGCTGACATTGTGATGACGATGAACCTTTTTTTGGGTTTTACTCATTTGATGACCAAGAGTTTTACCTTGGAATTCCCTCATGTTGAGCGATACTTCTGGACAATGGTTAATCAACTGAATTTTAAAAAAATTATGGGCGAGGTCAAGCAGGCAGAATCGGCATTACCTATACCATCTAAGAAGCCATCCCAGCCGAAAGATGCTAAACCAAAGGCCAAGGATGAGCCAAAGAAAGAAGCCAAGAAAGAAACCGATAAGGAGCCTGCGAAGCCCAGAGCCGAGGCTGCGGAGGAGGAAGAGGCCCCAAAGCCGAAACCTAAGAATCCTCTCGATTTGCTGCCTCCAAGTAAGATGGTACTGGATGACTGGAAGAGGCTGTACTCTAACACGAAGACAAACTTCCGTGAAGTCGCAATCAAAGGTATCCAACATCCCGACTTGACTTGTTTGTTTCCGTATTCTTCTCAGCATGATCATGAATAGTATTTATACGTTACCATTGGTATAGGATTTTGGGACATGTACGATCCCGGGGGATATCCCCTATGGTTCTGTAACTACAAGTACAACGAGGAGAATACGGTCTCATTTGCCACTCTGAACAAAGTAGGCGGGTTCCTGCAAAGAATGGATTTGGCATGCAAGTATGCATTTGGGAAGATGCTGGTGATAGGCTCCGAGCCGCCCTTCAAGGTCAAGGGATTGTGGCTTTTCCGGGGGCAGGAAATCCCCCGATTCGTGATCGGCGAGTGTTACGACATGGAACTTTACGAGTGGAAGAAGGTCGACATCTCGGATGAGGCCCAGAAAGAGCGTGTGAATCAGATGATAGAAAACTACGAGCCATTCGAGGGTGAACCGCTTTTGGATGCCAAGTGCTTCAAGTGATTTGCATTTGCCTGAAATTTCTTAAACTCGTGTTTCGGGCTTTGGCGCGTACTCGGTGAAATGTATGTTAACTACGAGCCATGTTTTCATGTCACATACAGTAAAGAAACATCTAAAGCTCGTTGTTATCTATTTCTCTACACCACTGGTTTGAAAAAAATGGGACTACTTTCAGTTGTGGATTGATTGTTCCAGTAGGTTAATTATATATTAGTCAATGAAGTTTGGTCTGTGTATCGATTTGGTCTTCAAACGTTAAATTGTTTCAATTTTAACACTTGAACTTTTTATATTAATTTTTACTGTTACTATATCATTAAATTGTAAGCATTTGAATTTTTGTTCTTCTGGTTAACATCTGAATTTGTATTCATACTTCGATTTTTAATGGTTACAATATATTTACATCACACATTTTTAAACTACGATTCATAGTTTAAATCAATCTCTAAACTTTTGAACATTTTAATTTTATTTTTAAACTATGATCTCATTTTAAACTAATTCTCAAATTTTTAAATATTTTAATTTTATTCAGACTCCATTTTAAATTCGTCTCCAAATTTTTGAACATTTCAATTTTATCTCAAAAAATCATTACATTCTTATAATTTTCTTAATTGACAATTAACATTTAACTTTTTTTTTCTTTCTTTCTTTTCTTCCATCCCCTTCAATCAATCGGAATTATATTATTTTTTATAAATAGTTTTTTTTCGTTTGTATGAAAATAGTGGATATTTCTATTTATCTTTGCAGTACATTTTTGTCTACTCTTATAACACATCTTTTCCGGGTTAAATTTAACGTTAGATCTTAATAATATTTATTTAATTATATCGTTGTTCTATCTCTACTTTGGACTATTAGATTAGATATTGATACAATCTAATAATCATTAAAAAATAAATTGTGATTGAATTATAATAATATCAATTTATCAACGAATCGCTATTTTTATATAGATTTTTCTAAAGTGTATAATTTATACGTTTCAAATGTTTTAAAAAATATTTAATTTGTACGGTAAACTTATCTTTACTTTTGTATTTTTAAGGGTATATTGCACTGTTCCTACTAAACTTTACTCTCTCTCCCATTTTTCTCACCCAACTTTTAATTTGATCAATTTGCTCACTGAACTTTACATATTGAATCATTTTGCTCACTCTACCGTTAACTATTTAACGGATTTATGACATGGAACAAACATATAAATGACGTTATTTTGAAAACTCAAATATACTCCAAAACGACGTAATTTTAGTGAGTAAAATAGGATAGATAGAGAGAGAGTAAAGTTCAGTGACTCATGGTGTAATTTAGCCCTTTTCCTTCTCTTCTTCATTTTCTCTCTGTTGGCCATCACGTCGTTTTAATTCCGACCACTTTCGATCGCCGTAGATGGGTGTAAAGTTCAGTGAGGAACGATGTAATTTACCCTTAAAAAATACAAAAGTAAAGATAAGTTAAACATATAAATTAAATATTTTACATTAAATAATAAAAATGGCACATCATCAGCTGTTAGAGATATTATTTTATATTAAATAAAAAATTTCACATCATCAACTGTTAGAGAGAAAACGACCGAGTGAGCAAAATGATTCAATTATAAATTTTAGTGATCAAATTGAAAGTTAAATGAAAAAAATAAGGGAGAGAGTATAGTTTAGTGACGAATGGTGTAATTTACCTTTGTTTTAAAAATGGGCTTAACTCGAAGTTTTGTCAAAGCATTGAGCCATCATCGTGGGCATTTTCCCATTGTTTTTAGTTGGAAAAAATCAGGGCCTAAGATAAAATCCTACGCGGAGAATTCAATTTGAATATAAATATATAAGACCGGGCAGCATTGCAAAAATCGGCATCGTTTGTCAGAGAAATCTGGAAGATTGTAGGTCAAGAAAAAGATCGATTCCTCTTTCTCTGCCGCAGGGAAGAGAGATTGAGAGAATGACTGGAATTTCAAGAAGTAGATCGGTTCGTTTTCAACTGTTTTTCGCTTTCGTTTATCTACAATTCATTCCAGGTTTCTTTCTAAATCTCTTTTCTACTCTCTTTTGTTGTTGTTGTTTCAATGACACTTGTATTCTTTAATTGAAATATCAATTTTCTATTCTGGTCTGCATTCGAATCATTGATTGCGTGAAAATCAAGTTTATTTGAATTGTCAATTCGTACAGTTTACATGTTCGAGAATGAAGATCGGACACTTTTATGTATTGATTGTTTTTTTAGCGATTCTTAGTATTATCTGTTTGGCTTCTAGGAAATTAACATCGAACGAACATGAAAATCAGAGCATTTTGTATCCATCTTTCCCGAAATTAAATTCTAAACTTGAGTTTTCTTTTTCTCTTCTTTTGAAATTTTTGCTAGGATAAATCTGCTATGTAGCGGTACAAGTTGGCAATTAGGATTTATGTAGCATGATTAAGGTTAAGTTTTTGGTTCAAGATTAAAACTCAATCCTCTTAATCGAATATCCATGAAATTTTGGGAAATTATTGTGTTTGATTTAACGGAGTGAACGTGAAACTATTGTGTCTTATTCCTTCTTATTGTTGTACTTGCTTTTTATCCTTCATTGAACCTTTTTGCATCTGAATTCAATTGGACTATGGATTAAGTAGCTGCAACGGACATTAGAAGTAAAGATTGTTCATATTCATTCTGTTAAACAATTTTGTTTCTTTTTTTTCAGGTTTTTCTGATGACTCCACAAGCTCAAAAACCAAGACTGATGCAAATAGTAATACTGCGACCATAATAGTCATTGTACTGTTCGGGCTTGTTGCAGTAGGGTTGTTTTCATTTTTCCTTTACAAGTTGTGGCAGAAAAAGAAACGGGACGAACAATATGCTCGCCTTTTGAAGTTGTTTGAACAAGATGATGAACTCGAGGTTGAATTAGGCCTTGGGGGCTGACAGCATCATTGTAAATTGAGCTTGTCCTATTCGAGGTGTGTACATAAAACTTTTTCGGCGGTCCTCAATCATCTAGATTCAGTTACATCCCTTATTTTGTTTGAACTATATGCCTGTTTTCTAGTAGTTGAATACCACGTAATGATCGAATGTAAATGAAGAACTTCATAATTTTTTAAGCTATTATGGAACTTTGAGCTTCAATATGTTATGCACTCATGCATGTTTAAAGCTTGAAACTCAAATATGTATATCCATATGCATCTGTTGGTCTGCTTTTCGAGTTCCTATCCATGCAAGGCTGTAGAGAATGTGCATCTGTCTTGGAGTTCTTATGATTGTTGTTATCTGATGACATTTTCTGGTTTTGCATTTTATCCTCCTTTTATGTTTATTCTTTTACCATCCGATATGCAGGCTGAAACAGCATCACTGCTCGTGTTGTTTTAGAGAACTCGGTTTTCCAGTGGCCATAGATCAGGATTTAAGCACACCCCGTGGCGAGGTCAGATAAAAGTTTCAACCATAACTTGTACTATTTGTAATGATAAAAATGAGATTTTATTATATGAATTGTTTGTGCTTTCCTTGGAAAGGAGATGCATACACTTTTGTAAAAAAGGTGGTCAGGAAGGTTTTGTGAAATTAAATGCAGCCACATTTTCGGGGGCGATATATCGGCCCTGTCGTGGTTGTGTTCCCTTCGTTATCTGCCTGATTCGGTTCGATTTAATAATAAAACGTTTGCTTGTCTGTACCATATAAAAGATGAAGCTTGAAATGAAAACAACCTTATTTCTTGTGATTGATGTTGGCACGAACAGGGTATGATTTAATCTTCGAACTATAACGATCGATCCATTCATGCTGTATAATCCTTACCAAAGATTAATTGGGTACATGTTCATTTATTTAAAAATTATGTTTTGATATTCACGAACATATTTATTATATCCATGAACATTACAAATAACTAAAAATCTATTCATTAATGAAACTAACAAACCATAATGTACACGATTCTAATTTTTAATATGCAATAATTAAATTAAATATAAATATTTGTAATTTTATAAATGAAATCAAAATTAAATAAGCACTTATAAACAAATTAATAAATCAACCTCATAAACGAACTTTATTTATAAAATATAAAGAAATCAAATATACCTCTATTTAAACATTAAAATTTTCATTATATCCATCTATTAAATTAAATAAATATAAACAAACAAACCATGTCCATTTACAGTTCTGTTTTACAATAGCTTACCAAAGAATTTCTCGGTCTTCTAAAATATGAACCAAAAGATCCGGTCCCTTGAAATGTGATACCAAGAAAACTAGCAAATGGTAAACGACGGCGGATTACTAATATGTTATCGAAAGATACTTAAGATGTTGTCGAATCGTATCGGATTAAATACATTTGATAACATGTATCTTTCGATAAGATAATTTTCAATGTTATTATATTCGATAACACTCATTCCTGAAGTTATGCGATTATTAATAGATGAATGACAAAACAAGTATACATACCAGTTCAGTTGTTGCAGGCAGAGACGATCAAAATAAACACAAGAGAGAATATTACTTATTATGAAGTCAAAAATGCAATACAATGATCGTATCTTATAATCAAAAGGCATGCATACGTAGAAATATGCATGAAAATATTGTCAGATTGCAGTGCAAAGAATATTCGAGTAAATTAGAGGTTACGAGACCCGGAAGCGGAAAGAGCATGGCTAAAAATAAACTACGGAAGAGGTTATTCGTAGTAACTAATGAAGTGGAGTGGTCAACTTTATGGAGGGGACGAGACATGGGAAAACAGGATCAACGGAGAAGGAGACCGACGATGGCGACCAACGTCGTGCAAAACTGATGGGAGTTTTTGACTAGATCTTCCTAATTCAACATCCCTAAGTTTTGGCGAAATCAAACCACTACAAAGCCATCAGGATTTCAGTTGATAAAATGTATCGTCGATAAGGTCATATTCCTGTCTTGGCCCGTTTCATCCCGGTACTGGTAAAGGGTGACATACTTGGGCTCATACTCGGGCTCTCTTCCC